TTGGTCCACTGTGTTTTCTGAAGTCCACAGTCAATTGCTTCTTTTTTGGCCTGTTTTAGGTAATGCATGTTTAATGTAAGTGTATTTTATCTTTGCATTGGCATTGACAGATTTTGTCACTTGTTTTAAGCTGATTTTTAGGGATGCACTGATATTAAAATTAGATCCAAAATTAATAAGCCAACGATTATTATTCTTACATTATGAAAGATAACTTATTAATAGTTGATCAAAATAAAGCACAGTAAGTCTCAAATCAACAGTTTTGTCAATGTCAATGTAATAAATGTTTTAAAAATCCTTGAAACTTGCATTTATTGTATTTGAAAAAGAAACATTGCATAAGATATTAAGGCTAGTTTTCAGGGAATGCATGTGTTATACAAGTGTGTTTTGTCTTAATTCGGTTTAAATGAGTTAAAAACAGATGCACAAGACAAAATACACTTATATTAAAAAATTTACATGTATGAAAATAAGTCTTACTAGCTGATGCAGTGTTGCTTCTTAAGTAAATCTAGCTTGTTTTAAGGATATTTTTACTGGAAAATAAGTTTGAAAAAATCCTAATTCAAAACTCAAATATAAAATATACAATGTTTAAATCATGACAGAATTATTTTTTCGGGGTAAAATGTTTCTTTAAGGTAAGATTACTTTCCAGTTTTATATTCTTTATTTAATATATATGTATATCTAGGGCTGGGCGATAATTCGATAACGATAATTATCGCGGTATAATTTTCCTCGATAAAACGGTATGAAGAGTTCGATATAATGTTTATGCGCCAAAAGTGGAACGAAACAGTGCGACTCATTTGAATCGCGCCACACGGACCGTTTATCCACTCGGATCAAAGTTTAAACTGCCGCGTGACGCGAGCTCACTAGAGCAGATGCGTTTACTCGGTCACGCGAGCACTAAACAGCACTGTGAGATCCAGTGTGAAGCGCGAATAGAGTGATGAACACAAATGACTGTGATTTAAACTAGTTTAAAGCCAAACAGGAGAAACACTGCGTGCAACGAGACAGTCAGAAGACTTTTCAATCTACACATCGCCATCATTTACCATGGATTTACTGTAGTAACACTCACTGCACCATGGTATTGTGGCAGAAATTTGGGATATTCACACTGAATTTTATTACAGGAGTAACTTAATGGTATATAATTCTAGTATGTATTTGTGATTAAGCTATATCATGTCTGCATTTATACTGAATTTAGACTACTTTTTTAAGTTATATTTTTACTATGGTATTGAGGTGCTATATGTGTGGTTTTAACTGTGTTTATCATGATTTAAATCTATGGGAGACCAATGCTTAATTAAAAAAAATAAAAAAATCCTTGATCAGAATAAATTTAACCATAAAAAAAACTGAGGTTGCTACAATTTTTACAGATGCTACTGAATTTGATAATGCACAAAAATGTACCTCTGCATCCTATCTCAAGCTACTATCAAATGTGCATTTCTAAGAGACAAAAAGTGATATTGTAATATTATCAGGCAACCCAAACCTGTTTCTTGGTTTGAAACAATATCACTCATTAGAACATGCAGAAACTAAGAAATAGATTTTTCTATTTAGATATTCATTTTGTTAAGGAAAATTAATGGTCTGGTTTCTACAACTTTCACTTTGGAGCAAAAATCTGACTTTAAACTTGAAAGAAATAAAGATTTGACATTTATCGTGATAATTATCGATATCGACTGACATGAAAAAAATTATCGTGATACTTTTTTGGGCCATATCGCCCAGCCCTATGTATATCTATAACTGTTTTAGAATTATGTTTTTTGGGGTAAAATATTCCTTCAAGGTAAGATAATTTCTAGTTTTATATTATTAATTTTATACATCTGTAACTGTTGTTAAAGAGAAAATATTCAGCGTATGAGTAAATCCTGACAGAATTACGTTTTTTATAATAATTGCTTATGCAGTGTTGCTTCTCATGTAAATTCAGCTTGTTTCTTTATATTTTTACTATATTTTTACTGTAAAATAAGCAAAAAAGACTCATTCAAAACTTAAATAAATATAAAATATACATGATACTTTTGAGTAAATCATGACAGAATAATGAACGATACTTTCCATGTTTATATTCTTTATTTTAATATATGTCTATTACTGTTGCATAGAAAAAATTGCAGTATGCATTTCAGTAAATCATGATTATTTGTTTAAAAAAATATATATATTGTTTTTATTTTTTTTGCGTAAAATATTCCTTAAAGGCAAGATATTTTCCAGTTTTATATTTTTTATTTTATGTATCTATAACTGCAATTTCAAAATTAACTGTGTAATTCAAAACTGAAATATAAAATGATTCACACAATATAAGATATTGGTTATACTGTCCACCTCCACACACAACCATACGGACTTACAAAATGCCATAATCGTGCCAGTGTTGCATTTGAGGAAAACAGCTTGATTGACAGGACAGATCATAATCTAACACAGTGTTTCCCAACCTTTTTTTAGTTGCGGCACCCTTTGGAAATTTTAAGAAACTTATGGCACCCTACAAAATTAATTTTGTCACAATATTTGAATTTCTAACTTCGATGTGATAATTTGAAAAGTATAGATATTCGGTACAACAGGGAAGAACTGCAGAATATAATGTCATACAGATATTTTTAATATTAAAAATAGTGTCTATCAATGGTGGCAATTAGTAGGCTAATTTCTAATGAAGAGACCAATTTATATGGATAGCAATCAGAAGCTGATATTAAAGAAATAGCTCACCCAAAAAATGGAAATGCTGTCATTTCGACCCTCACATCAAAGACATAAAGGGAATTGTTTTATTCTGCTTGGATCTTGATAGATGTGGTCACTATTAACTGTTGTAAAGGACAAAATAGCAGCGTACAGTTGAATAATTGATGAAAGAATCGTGTTTTATGGGTAATGTTTTTTCCTTTAAGGCAAGATATTTTTCAGTTTTATATTTATGTTTGATATCTATAAATTGAGGGTATTTACAGAGGGATTTGTTAATATATCATTTATATATCAATATATCATTTGTTAATATATCATTATATATACAGTATATATATATATATATTGTGTGTGTGTGTATATATATATATATATTCATTTCCGAATGAAGCCGCTCATGTAGCTCTGTCTTTCCTTTTTTCTGCATTTGGAGAGCTGCCCGAAAAGAAAACTTTAATTCATTGTTTAAATAGCACCATCCAATTAGTTAGTCATTTTGCACTATATTTCTGTCATTTGCATAATCAAATAAGGTCATTAATGATTGTAGTCGTATTAATCCTGTATTTATTAGACGTAAAGCATCATTTTTGTCATTATTCCTCAAGCTTATTTATATAATGCAATAGAAGGAATTCCACTGGCATTTAATACTGCTTAAAACACATGCTTTGTGTGAATGTGTGTGTAAAAATATAGCAGTGTGGTTAGAATGCTCTATGATTGCATATGCATGTATAGTAAAGTGGTCCCAAATCAGTTTTGGACACCTCAGTCACACTTAAAAATGTCTAACTTGCATTGCATTTAATGCAAGTTAGATGTAAATAAATTGATGCCTTTTTATTTAAACTTTGAGCCATATATACTGCTGTTCAAATGTTTGATAAGATTTTGTAATGTTTTTGAAAGAAGTGTCTTCTGCTAACCAAAACATACTGTAAAAATATTAATATTGTGAAATATTATTACAATTTAAAATAGCTGGTTTCCATGTGAATATGTTGTAAAATTTAGTTTATTTCTGTGATCAAAGCTGAATTTTCAGCATCATTACTCCAGTCTTCAGTGTCGCATGATCTTCAGAAATCATTCTAATATGTGACCCTGGACCACAAAACCAGACATAAGGCTCAATTTTTTGACATTGAGATCTATACACCATCTCAAATCGCTGAATAAATAAGCTTTCCATTGATGTATGGTTTGTTAGGATAGGTTGTGCATCGTTACTCTGTGTTTGTCAGAGATGATTAATCGTGTCGTCATGATGTATAAAGTTGAAGCAGACAGTTCTTGTCATTGACTTGCTCTCAGTTTGATTTAAATCTGTACACATGCACACTAGATCGGATCGATTCCTTGAATGCTGTTTTATGACTATCTGCACTGCCTGGAATGGTCGATTCTTTTTCATAAATCATTTTGTGATTAATGAGTTCGATTGCATTTAAGTTTTTTTTCTTCACGTTTTGGGAATAGGGATGTTGATATCCATTTGCTTGAATTATTACTAGCATGAGCCATACTTAAAGCATACTTAAAGCAATGGTAAATCATTTCTTGTTTATGTTTCACTGGCTTTTATTTGTCAAATCAAGTCAACCTTTATTTATATGGCTCTTTATACAATACAGATTGTTTTAAAAAATGAGGCAAACTTCAAATATGACAAATTCTGCTGAAAAGCAGCTCTACAAAGCCATAAGACCTTGATCTTGAACTTTGTTCTGACACCTATTGCCATTGTTGCAAGTGTTTGCAGGTGTTTTTTTCTGTGGCAATAAAATCGCTCCTCCTTGAAGAAAACAAGCTTGTTCTTTCATAGCTTGTGAGTTCTCATTTATGTCTTTCCATTAGGAGAAATAAAAATTGAAACAAATAAGATGATTGCTGTCATACCATAAGACTACAGAGCTATGAAATGAATATGGAAAGCAATTCAGATTTTTTATAATTTTATTTGGCAAGAATTTGATGATAAATGAATCATGGCATAGTTTAGTATTGTGTTTTAAAAATGCTCTTATTCAAATTGCTTAGAATCAGCATAAATCTGTTAACAATTCCATTTTATCAGTTAATACCTACATGGTTAAAATAGGGCTCACTTTGGAACAAGCAACTTTCAGCTAGTTTAAATTAGATTGGATGAAAATTGAATTAAATTGGATTTACTGATGAGAAATATATAAAACTGGTTATTGTGGAAATCTCATTCTTTCTTGCTTCATTTATGTATGACTTGCAAAAATGCATCACAGGTTTATCATTTTATGATAAAACTGTGTAATCTGTTTGTCTATTTTATATGCATTTAAAATACATAAAACTTAAATTTAGTATTTTTTGAGTATATTGAGATCTGTGACTAGCACAGTTTAAGATATTGTTGAGATCACTTCTGAAACTCTAGATGAGACCGACACATATGAGATTACTAGGGCATTTTGTTCAAGAGGAAATTTCTAAAAAGGTGACTTCAGCCAAAATATTAATTTGCTCTCCATTGAATCTCATTACTGTTCCATTTGTGTCCAGTTGACTCTTGTGCATGACTTATTTTCTTCTGTAGAACACAAAATGGTCATTTTCCCCATGCAATTACAATGAATGGAGACCAGAGCTTTCAAGCCTAAAAAAGGGTGCAAAAGCACCATAAATGCAGTCCATACTTGCAAGTCTTCTGAAGCCATACTATGGTTTTTGTGAGGAGCAGACTAATGCTATTCCTTTAATAGCACCTTAAAGCTATTTAAATGCACCATGTGATACATTTGATCAGTTGTGTTGTATTATTTTGAGATCTCTTCTGAAACTCTATATGAGGCACATACAAGATGTTTTGTCAAAAATACATTTCTGAGAAGGTGACTTCATCAAGTGTTTATTTACTCTCCATTCATTCCCATTACTGTCTCATTTGTGTCCTGTGGACTCTTGTGCATGACTTTATTTCTTCTGTAGAACCCAAAAGGTGTTCCTTTTTTCCATAGAATAGTCATTTTCCACCATGCAATTACAATGAATGGAGACCAGAGCTTTCAAGCCTAAAAAAGGATGCAAAAGTACCATAAAAGCACCATAAATGAAGTCTATACTTACCATATTGCAAGTCATCTGAAGCCACACTAGCATTTTGTGAGGAATAGGCCGAAGCTATTCCTTTAATAGCACCTTAGGGCTATTTATATGCACCATGTTCTACGTTTGATCTGCATTGTTGAGTTGCATTGTATTAGTCGTGTCTGAAATGGAACATGTGGTTCTTATGCACCGTATGTCCAGTAAAGCGGCTTTAGTTTCATTGCCGTAGCAGTGAGATAAGCACCGATGGGCTCTCTAAGTGGATCACAGGAGTGATGATGGTGGTTACTCAGTGGAGTTAGTGTCAAACCCCTCCCGCTCTTAATTCACATGCTTACGCTGGCTGTTTGTTGCACCAACGGCTTTAATCACGACGGCATCGGAGGTTTAATCCTGGACGCTCTCATTACACCGG